TGCCTGAGTTTCAGGGCCGGTCGTTCTGATGAACGACCGAAAATGGCCCTTCGTTTCAGGCTAAAAAGGCTGTTGCCATTTTTAGTCTGAAATGACACAGGGATAGGCCCTGGAATTCAGGCTTTCGGGCTGAACCGACATGGGGCCTGTAAGCCCTGGATTTCAGACTTTCGGCCTGAAGTTCAGGCTTTCGGGCTGAACCGACATGGGGCCTGTAAGCCCTGGATTTCAGGCTTTCGGCCTGAAGGACGCAGGCCTGGAAAATGGCCTGCGTGTGCAGGCGCAGCATGTAACACCCCCCCCTCCTTATGAAGTCAAGCCGGGGCGAGGGCGAAGCCGACGATCTGAAGGTGGAACCTGGACGCGGGCGCGGCGTGGAGCCGAAGAAACCGGCTTGCCTTGCATCTTGCGTTCGTAGCCTGCGAGAACATCTGGAGTTGTCGCTTGAAGTTCCGCACGGGTTAACCATCGGTCAGCTCGGTGTGTGCAGTAGGCAAAATGCACCAAATACTCAGTCGGCTTGCTGCAGTAGCGCCGCTGGGAGATGATGTCGCCGACCTCCTGAAAACCATCCATAGAAGGTGGGTCTTGCGTATGTCTCCCGGGAAAATCGTCATGTTCTGCTAGCGTGTTGAGAGCCAATTTGGAGCAACGAAAGACTGGGTAGACGGGCAAGTGGCCGGGCAGCTGAATCGTGAAGGAAGGTCCTTCGGGTGCGTCCCCAGCGGGCGCTATGATCGGCCAAGGCCCTATCGATTTCGGAAGGAGCTTGCGAGAGATGTCTTGTTCAAGGCTGAATTTCGCTGCGGAAACCCAGACGAGGTCACCGGCGTGGAATGGACAAGGAAGACGCTGGCGATTGGCCTGCTGGCTCATGTGCTGTTGCGTCTTAGCCATCTGGTCGCATGCCTTGACAAGAAGCTCTTGCATCCGACGCAAGAAAAGAAGATGGTCGTCGCTGTCGGCCGTGCGTGGAGTAATAGTGTCCAACGGTGACGTGACCGGCGAGCCGTGCTCGAACTCGAAGGGTGATATCCCAATAGCCGGGTGGATGGAAGAGTCGTAGGCCAACTCGACGTCCGGCAGTCGCTCAACCCAGTCTATCTGGTCGGGGCGGATGAGAGTGTGAAGAAGAACCTGTGCGGTCTGATGCGCCCTCTCCGTCTGGCCATCGGTTTGAGGGTGGCGAGCTGAACTGGGCTTGAGAGATGAGCCCCATCGCTTGATGAGCGCCAACCAAAAACCGGACATGAACCGAGTGTCGCGGTCGCAGACGATCTCCTTGGGGTAACCCTTGGTTCGAATCCAACCGGCGTAAAGAACCTCGGCCAACTCCGGTGCCTTGGCATGATAGCGACAAGGCAAAAACATGGCGAACTTGGTGAGTCGGTCGACCACCGTGARAATCCCATCCACTCCGGTCTTGTGCTTGGGGAACGGGCCGGTAATGTCCATGGCAATCGCTTCCCTTCGCCTCAACGGGACTGGCACTGGTCGTAACTCGCCGTACAGACGATGGTTGGGGGATTTGCAACGTCAGCAAACCTCGCATGACTCGCAATAGCGCGTGACGTCGCCAAGAAGGCCGGGCCACCAGAATCGCTGGCGAAGTCGGCCAATCGTGCGATTGACTCCAAAGTGTCCGGTGGCGGGAGCATCGTGGAACTCGCCAAGAAGCCGTGTATGCAAGTGAGGGTCACTCGGTATGCAAAGAAGGTCCTTCCCCCGCGTGTGGACAAGCAAGTACCCCTCTTGGATCCGGTAGTGAGAAGGAGCCGGATTAGGAGAGGAGCAATTCGCGTACTTGTCGCGAAACTCGGGGGCGGCTTGGTAGCCGCGGATGAAGCTGTTCCGCAGGTCATCGTCGATCTCGAAGGTTGAGTAGACCGCGGTACAATGATCCGGAGGCCGTGAAAGAGCATCCGCAAAACGGTTCGACTTTCCGGGAATGTGATCGGGAAAGAAGTCGATTTGGTCGATGAAAGCCATCCATCGAGCGATGGTGCTGTTGATGGTGTCTTGGGTCTTGTAGAAGACCAACGGATTGTTGTCCGTTACCCAACGAAATTGGCTTCGACCAAGGAGGAAGTGCCGCCACTGCTTGAGCGTGTGGACGAAGGCGAGGAGCTCCTTCTTGCGTGCATCGTCAATGGAATGCACGATGGGCACTTTCTTGCTGAAGTACTCGACCGGGTGCCAGTCCACACCATCATGTTGCTCGAGGACTGCACCAATGCCATAGCCTGACGCATCCGTAGTGACGCGCGTAGGCAAGAGCGGGTCATATATCCGCAAGACCTCCGCAGACAATACCGCGGCTTTGAGAGCGAAGAATGATCCCCGCGCCTCCTCTCCAAAGTCAAACGGCCGATCCTCGCATTGAAGCTTGTTCAAGTGGGCCGTGATCTTCGAGTAGCCTTTGATGAAGCGCTGATAGTAGCCGGCAAGACCGAGGAACGAGCGGACATCCGTGACGTTTCGAGGCTCCGACCACTCTTGGATGGCCTGAATCTTGTCCTATAGCGGACTGATGCCCTTCGGTGTGACAAAATGGCCCAAGTAGTCCAGCTCTTGCCGATCATTCGGCCGGATCGAGATTTGATGATATCCTGATTTCAAATCCAACTTAGAAAAGTACTTTGCGCCGCCCAATCGCTCGAGAAGATCGTCGATGCGAGGAAGAGGCCCCACATTCTTGACGGTTTGCGCGTTGAGCTTGCGGTAGTCGATACACAGTCGTAAATCCTTGTTCTTCTTCCTGACGAAGAGAACTGGTGCTCCATATGGGGAGCTGCTAGGGCGTATCCAGCCCTTGGCCAACAAATCGTCGAGTTGTGCGCGGAGGACCTCAAGTTCCTCCTCGCTCATCCGATAGATGCAACCTTTCGGCGGCACGACACCGGCCTCAAGAATGATCTCGTGAGATCGGCCGATCCGACACCACACCGGTAGGTGACTCGAAGATGTAGGCGAACTCGTCCAGCAACCGCACCACACGGGGGTCCGAAGACTAGTCCGTGGGTGAAGAGTCGGCTACCGCGACGGTTCGTAGAAAACATAGGGCGATCTCCTCGGGCTGCTCGTAAGCGCAAGTCGCCCGGAATGATTTGGCCGTCACCACTTGGCACCGGATCGAAGGGTGCGGTAGAGGAATAGTACACGCCACTTCCGCGCCGAAGGCGTCGCGAACGCTAAGAGTCCGCCGATGGAAGTTGACCGTGTGATCCGCACTTGCAAGCCAAGGCATTTCTAGAATGATGTCGAAGTCCGTGTCGAGAATATCGAATGTCACCGGTTCGCATGCATGAGGTGCGAAGTAGACCGGTACGGCCTCAATGTAACGGTCGAGAAGTTGTTGCGTCTTTCCATCCGCCAACTTGATGGCCGTCGGGTTTGCCTTCCTCCGAACTTGTGCGCCAAGGCCAGCCTTTTGCATAAAGGACTGGCTCATGAAATTGCGAGACGCGCCGCTATCCAGCAAAGCGCTGCAGGACGCTTGCCCAACCTGAATGCGGACATACATGAGCGGTGCGTTGTTGTCATCGTACCACTGCGTGCGAAACTCGCGGGCCACCTTGGTAGTATGCCAGGATGTCCCCCACCGCGACTTCGTCATCCGTCGGCGAAGTTGGTGGTGCATAGAAGGATAAGTAAGTGTGGAGATGAGCGCTAAGTGCTGCGCATTGCGGTCCCGGCAAGCGGCTTGTGGTCGGGAGAGGAAGCCATGCAAAGTCCTCGGACGTGAGCAGGTCCAATGCCTCTATGTTGAACTCGCGTGCCGAATCCCGTGAAGAACCACTTGAAGACGATATGTCGCCGTTGCCGGACGGAGAAGAAACCGCACACACTTCTTGTCCTTCAGCTTGAGTACCCAGCGTAGGAACGAGCCGGGCAGCATAGTCCTCGAAAGAAAGTAGAAGAGGAGGACTATCGACTTCCGCGTGCGCCTCGGAATGAAGGCCAGTTACTCGCGAAGAAACCGGTTCCGAAGTCGTCGAGAGTGTCGTCGAGTCACTCTCGACGGTGCTCAGTTTCCCTGTTTGCCCTTGCCTTTCAATGGGCAAACCTGCGTCTGATGAAGATCGCTGTTGCACCAAAGGCAATAATGGAATCTCTCGCGTGCTTTGAATGCTTGCTCGGAGATGCCATATTGGGACCATGGGCCTGCCTGAGCTGCTGCACCGGGCCCGGGGCTAGATGCGGTGTGTATCTTCGTCTTGCCGCGTCCTTGGCCTCTGCCGGGGCGGCCACCTTCCCGGGCAACTGCGAGTCTGTCCCCTTCACTGGCAGACACAGCCTCGCTGGATTGGTCAAACGGCGTTGCCGCTGCGACCACGGCCACTCTTGGCCGATGCTGGTCCCTGCTCGGGCCTGACGCAGATGAACGGAGGTTCTTGGCCTCCTTGTTCGTGATGATGATCTTCGCAGCCTTGTCAAACAATTCCGCCGTCGTCGTCAAGGTGTCCTCAACATGCGTCAGGGCATTGCTTACATGACCTTGAGATGAAGTAATGGCGGATGGCTTTGAAGCCCATCTGGATGTTTGGGACTGACGTCAAGCGTTGGTACTCGGCGATCCAGTCCGTACTCGGCAGCGTGCCTTGCTCGAAGACCATGAGCTTGTCCATGGCTTTGATCTCCGGCGGCTCCACCTGGAACCGCTTGTGCCACGCCGCCTTCAGATCATCCCAACTGATCTTGGTGTGCAAGTCATTGGCTACCACTCCGTACTTGGACAACAGGTTGTCCAACCAAGCCTGGCACGCGCCCCCTGAGCGAGAGTACAAGTATGTGTGGTGCTTGTGCTCCTTGACGTTGTGGAGCTGCAGCGTGAGCTCGAACTTCCGAAACCATGGAACCGGATTTGTCTTCATTGAGTCGCAGAAGATCTCCTGCCCGTCGAACTTTGGAGCTGTCTCGCGCGGTTCCGAACTCGAGATGTTGGCGGTAGTGCAGATCCGCTGTTGCAACTGTTGCGTCGCGGTCTGCTGTAATTGCACGCCATCCTTGAGTGAGCCGACGTCCATCTCCAATGCGTTGAGGCGGTCGGAAGTATTGGAAGAGCTTGCATCGGCGGCGGCGGCTGGTCGCTGCTCCAACCGCTGAAGGCGGTCTTGGACGTGAGCTAGCGAGTTGTTGAGACCGTGGATCTCCTCCTGCTGTGTAATGCAGGTTGCTAGGAGGTCTGTGAGATGCGAGAGGAGGAGCGCTATCTTGTTTGTGCTATCCTCCAGCTTGCTATTCTCGGCCTCGGTCTGCCATTCCGCTGCCATTGTAAGTAACGCCTGCTCTCCGGTAAATATCTTCTCACGACGTTGGTGTCTCTCTTCATCGGCAGCCCTTGCTGCTGCCTCGTCATGCTGGTGCTGTTGTTCAATTGCCAGCAGACGTGCCTGCTCGGCATCCTCTGCCTTCTTCTTTGCTGCTGCGGTAGCGTCATCTGCCTGTTTCTTTGTCTTGGTACTCCAGGCCAGCATGCAGGCCTGATAGGCCTCGTCTGCTTCTCCGGGCCTCTGGTCCATGACTGCTGTATGTGAACCCAACAGCATAGACCAGGCCGGGGCCTGCTGATGTGGTATCCTCTGCTGCTGACGTGGCACTGCTGACGTGTCCTGCTGATGTGGCCTGCTGACGTGGCAACTCACCAATGCCGCCGCATGGGGTACCCGGAGACCAGCAGAGAAGGTAAGGCGAGAGATGGCAACAACATAGGTGGGGAGGGGTGGGTGGGATAATCGCCCAACTAACACTCAGATAAGGAGCCACTAATCAAAAAAGAAAAGTTTGAACTTTGCAAAAAAAAAATAAAAAAAAATTCGAGAAAAAATAAAAATCCCGATTTTTGCAAGTTAATTAGGTCTCCCAACCTCCCTTGAAGTGCGAAATGATCACTGAAAGAGAAAAAAAAAATTCGACTTCAGACTGCAAATGATTTATAGCACTGACTGACAGAATCCTAGAACTGCGAAAAAAATTCTGAAAAGAAATGACCAATATTCGGATTTATATTCAGATAAGAATATTCGCAGTTTGGAAAATAATACTGCAGGAGGGATTTCCGTACCGTTTTCAGAAAAACGAATTTCGGAAAAGAAGATATTCCGAATTTCTCAGTAACGGGAAATGCAACAGGAAATCGAAATTTTCGAAAAGAAAATTATCCGGATTTTCAACAACGAAACTTCGAATTTTCAGAAGAAAAACGAAAATGGGAATTTCAGATGTTGCGATATTGCGATTTTCCACAACAGAATAGCGAGAAAACAAAATACAAGGAAAGAAAAAAAAAATCGATTTTCGGTAGTAAGGTCAAAATCGTGATTTTGGGGTCTAACTAGTATGCTCTAATCAATCAATAAAGACTAACCAGCTATTTAGCCCCCGCCCACGTGTCAGATCAGGTTGTCCTGATTCACGTGCGATGCTCCGATACCAACTGTTACATGCACAGATATGCAATGTACGTAATAACCGAGGATCTGCAATGTGATGAAAAGGACTGAATGGACAATGCGGTGCGAATAGAATCTCG